GGAAGCCCCGCGCACGCCTGCCCCAGGGCTGACTCACCCCTCCTGTGTGGTGCAGGGAGCCGATGCTCCCTCCTGCAGTACATCCAGCAGAGCAGCTAGCGCTACTTCCGGAATCGCCGGAAGTGGCACTAAGCTGCAGGACTTCTGTCCATCCCTGGGAAGCCAACACTACCTCCATTTTCACTTGAGGTAGGTAGTGGGGCTTCTTGGGGGTGGGAGGGAAATGGAGGCGAGGCGGACAGGACGCCTCACGATCCATTAGTTGAGGCCTCGCGATTGACCAGTCGATCGCGATCGACCTGTTGGTGACCACGGGTGTAGACAGTGCCACATTACAAAATAAGCTATTTCTAAATGAATTTGAAATAAGCTACACAATTTGCATAGAGCAAATTGCATAGCTTATTTCGAGCAAAGAGTGCTGTGTAGACGCACCCTAAAAAACCTCTCAAAGCTTTTCTAGTCCTACAATTCTATGATTCAACAGAACCAGAAATGGGACCTTGGAACCTATTTATGCCAAAGGAAGCTGTAGTAAACAGAGGTCTGACAGGAAGAGCTTCAGTGATGAAGATCTCATATGACAAGAATTCATATCTGTGATTTTTAAGAGATCACAATAAAAATAAAAACCCAAAACAATTTCTCTCTCAGAGAAGAGCATAGAATCATATTTCCATCTGCACACAGCACAGTAAATCATATATTATTTTTAAACTAATAGGTTTACTTATACATTTAAGAATTCAGTTACTACAACTGAAAAGGATGGTATAATATAATACTTACAGGCACTTGTCAGCATCTGGAAGAACCGTTCCTAACTGCATTCGTCTACGAGTTACATCAAGTGGATAACTGATGATGAAAGGATTTAAGAAAAAAAGCATTTAAACTAATTTCTTGCATGATGAAAATATGAACATAATCTATAGGAACATATATATATAAAATTTCATGTGAAACCTCAAAGTTCCCTTTACCAAGAGTCAAGCTCCATGCCCAACACAGCTCAAAGTTCTCCAGAAAGGGAGATTTCTCCCATCATAATTTAAAACTGTGAACAAGATACATCTTAATATATTTAGGCACAAGTAAAGAAGATACGTGACAATCAGAAAAATCAGAGCATAAAACTATATGTAAAACCTTTAAAGAATCAACAGAAATACATGTGAGACATTTGTAATCAACTAGTTTAGAAAAAAAACATTGCAAAATAAACAAATCCAATCAATTCTCTTTCTGGGCTATTGAAAAAATCTGACAAACGCCATGAGAAGAAAGGGAAAACAAAAATAAGCTATACTAAATACAAAAGCAACAAAGCTACCCCTATGAAACTTGTACTAAATACAGTCACTTAAATATACATTTGTAGCTATGATTTTGCAAGTTACATTTTGTTTTAAAATTAGCTGTTGTAAACAACCCCTAGTCAAGGTAACATTCTAATTTACTTTAATGGGAAATTTGTCAGAGTAAAGATAGCAGGATCTGCCCTGATAGATATACTTTAAAGATCTTCAAAATTAAAATACATTTGGAAAGCGAAGCACCATGAAGTCAATCCATTCTAGTTTCTCACCTATCAGCTTAACTCTGAAATAGTACACTTAAGAAAATTTCTTAATACAAGATAGCATGTAATTGCTCCAATAAATGCAGATAAAAACCCCAAACAAATCCAAATCCTACCAAAACTTACGATATTGTCTGTGCTATGGTTCCAGCTAAGCCACCACACAGCAAGCTAACGTGTGTTTTCAAAACTAAGACTTCAGGATTATCTAATGAAGGTCTTCCTAGCAGGTTAGGTGCATGGGCAAGTCCAATGCTCTTTAAGGAACTATAGGTAAAAAATGAAATACCTGAAAGAAAAAAATATAATTATGTAAACTTTGCGAAAAAAAAGTTTCTTATTGATTCAAAGTCTTTGTAATAGAACACAGTAATCACACACTGAATTATTTAATTTCTGATTCTTTAGAAGGCTCTTAATAAATACTATTAGAGATGTAGCCATGTTAGTCTGGTCTTGCTGAAACAAAAGACAGGACTATGCAGCACTTTAAAGACTAACAAGATGGTTTATTAGGTGATCAAAAAATGTGCACACATATAAAATTGAAAAATCAGATTCTAAAATTTGTCAATTTTATATATGTGTTCACATTTTTTTGATTGTATCCCTTTGGTATATATGGCCATGCCAATTTTCTTCCACAATTTGATCTGAGGAAGTGGGTCTGGCCCATAAAAGCTCATCACCTAATAAACCATCTTGTTAGTCTTTAAAGTGCTGCATAGTCCTGTCTTTTGTTTAATTAAATACTAGGAAAGAGAAAAATCACATACATTACATAAATGATGCTGTGGTTTAGGAGTCAGCTGATTGTAATTTGCAAAGTGCTGAGAAAAGTGCAAAGTGCTTTGGAAAAGTGTCTTGGACATTAATTTTAAGAATTGTTTTGTACTATATATACACACAATGGAAGTGTACATACAATAATACTTTGCATTTGAATAGTAGGAACTGCTAACCAAGGATCTTGAAACATTATGAAAAAGACAATTACCTGTTTCCAAAATAGGTGTTCTTTGAGATGTGTTGCTCATGTCCATTCAACGTAGGTGTGCGTGCTTGCCACATGCAGCAGTGCCGGATGATTTTCCCTCAGCAGTATCTATAGGGACTGGCTCCAGTGCTCCCTGGAGTGGCACACACATGCCGTACTATATAGTGCGCAGCTGGGGCTGCTCCTCCCTTTGTTTCTTCTTGCTGGAAACCCTGACGGGAAGGAGGGTGGGATGTTGAATAAACACAAGCAACACACCTTGATGAATACCAGTTACAGAAACAAGTAACTGTCTTTTCTTCTTCAAGCACTTGCTCGTGTCCATTCAATGTAGGTGACTCCAAGCAGCATCTGCGGAAGTGGGTAGGAGTTTAAGGACACGCTGAAGGCAACACAGCTCTGCCGAACCCAGTGTCAACTCTGGCCTGCTGCATAAATGGGACATGAGCTTATGTACTGAGGACCATGTCACCAGTTTGCAGATGGCCTGAATAGGGACGTAGGCTAAGGCGGCTGCCAAAGAGACTTGTGCCTTGGTAGAATATAGACTATGCACGAATGGCGGGGGGGAATTGAACACCTGCCAGCTTGTAGCACCTCCTGACACAGATGATGATCCACTTGGAAATCCACTGTAGAATACCAGAAGACCCTTCATGCGATCCGTGTAGGTGACAAAGAGCTAGGAGGGTTTACAAATGAGCTTCGTCCACTCTAGGTAAAAACCAAGTGCTCTCCTAATGTTCAGTGCATGGAGGTGCCTCTTCTCACTGGTCTTATGGAGCCTGGGGTAGAAGGATAGAAAGATGATATCCTGGCCCATGTGGAAGACAGGCAAAACTTTGGGCAGGAAGGCCAAATGAAGTCTACATTATACTTGGAAAAGACCATATGCAGGGGTTATGACATCAGAGCACAGAGTTCAGACACTCTCCTGGCTGATGTAATTGCCACTAAAAAGACCTCCTCGGTGGAAAGGACCATAAGGGAGCAGAGGCCAGTGGTTTGAAAGGAGGCCCTGTCAGCCTAGAAAGGATCTGTGGGAACAACTTCTCTGGCTGCCATATCATGCGAAAACACTGAGTGACCTCAGATTGGCAAATGGAAGGCTGACATATCTTCCAGGTCTACCCTGAGGCCCGGACTACACTAGGAGTTTACACTGATTTTAGCCACATAAGGTCAATTTTCTAAACAATGTGTCCACACTACCAAACCTGTCTTGTCGACTTTAAGGGCTGCCGAAGTCCATGTCGAGAACTCCTGATTTCACAAGGAGTAACGCTATTCCCGACCTTGCCTGCTCAAGTTTACAATAGTATAGACACAGCATTGGCAAAAGTCGAGGTTATTAGCCTCCAGGAGGCATACCGCAATGCACCACTCTGAGCAGAATGTGCACCTCTACTGCTCTCCAAGTGAACAAGGAAAGTCCCAGGAAAGTCTGAATTTCATTTCCCGTGTGGCCGGTGTTGTGAGCGCACTTCAGAGCAGGCAACACACCTGAGCAGCACACGTGGCCATGATTTCCAACACTTCCGTGAGTTCCAATACTTGGAGTCCCGTTAGCTCTAGTTCCCTGGGGCACAGAAGAGCATCAGTGTGGAGTGGCCAGGAGATCTTGGACCTCATCGAGGTGTGTGAAAAGGAATCTATTCTGTCTGAGTGCCAATCCAGCAAAAGAAACAGATGTTTACACAAAGACCAGCTTTCCAAGCCTGACCATATAGTCATGCCAAGACATTCCTTTCATCGGCATAGAGGACTACAAGGTGGTGGAAGCGGAGGAGGAGGAAGATCACTGAGAGCCAAGAACTTTTTATCACATTGGAGCCAGTCCCCTCCTCCCAAGAGGACTCCCAGCCAAGCACTGATCATGGGGAAGGCACTTCTGGTGAGTTCACAATTTTCTTCTTACTACTAGCAGGTTGAGGTAATTGGGTGTGATGTGATTAACCAGCATGAGGGGCCCAAAACAGCTTGTTAATGTGTCTGCAGATAGAGTGGGAGTCGTCCCTGAATAGCTCCATGAAGCTCTCAGATAGGAACTCTTTGATCACTCTTACAAGATTTCTAGGGAGGCCAGCCTTATTCCGTCCTTCATGGTAGGACACCTTCACACACCAAGCCACCACTAAGTAGTCTTGTGTCACTGAACCACAAAGCATTGCAGAAATAAGGCCCAGGTTTCTGGTCATATTCAGCCAGCATGCTTTCCCTATCACTCTATATGACTCGGAGAATACGGATATCTTGCATGGCAACCTGCATGCAGGAAAAGGGGAAGTTATTAGCACCTTCCCTGGGAAGCTGCATGTGCCAGACACAGAGGGAAGCCTCCTTGCCCCATTGCCCCCCTCCCACCTGCAGGCTCCTGCAGGCTGCGAAAGTAGCACTGTCCTTGAAAGCCGTGTGTGCTGGATGACCAGACTCCGTTCTCCCACTTTCTGCAGGATTGTTCCCTTCCAGACCCCTTATCATGCCTGCTTCCACATAAGTCTAGAGGTTCCCTCGAGAACTCTGCTGTGTAACTGCTGAACAAGTGACCACTTTAAAGCAAAACTTTGGCCGTGCACAGTACACATCTCCATTGTTTTTATGGAGACCTTTGCTATATGGTAACAGATTAGAGTTAGGTTTAACACAATGTATTTCCTGTAGTGCGTATCCTTGTAACTTTTTGTTACAGTGGGAACAGCAGCCAGCTCACTGTGTACTCTCCCAGCTCCACCAGCTCCCAGCCTGGTGCAGATCCGCAGGTGAAAACAGTCAAGGGAAGACATGTTCAAGGAACAAATGGACTGGTTAAGTATGCTCTTGGAGGAGATGCAGGCCAAGTGCCAGGACAGAGTCACGCAACAGCAGAAGAGGAGAGTGTGCAGGGAGTTGCAGGCCAGGCAACAGGACAATATCTTTACCTCCCTGACAACAGTAATGAAGTGCCTGGAGATCATCTCCCACCCTGGAACCCTGTTCGCCCCATGCAAAATAACTTTTCCCCCTCCCACAGTTCCATAGCCTCCACCCCCAGGGACTCCCGGACATGGGAGCAGGGGGGCACCCAAAGGCAGCCTTAGCCTCCAGGAGCTCAGGAGGCAAAAGGCTGTCCTTCACACATTTCTAAGCCCCCCCTCCCTCCCCACACACACCAGGTTCCCACCATGGACTTCTTTTATTTCCTTGCTGTATTCCCTAAATAACAAAACAACATGATTTCTGAACAACAGGCTTTTTATTACTTGTATTGCAGGGGTGGGATGAGGGATTACAGGCAAACATAGTGAATGCAGTGGTATCTCACTGACAGCAGTATGCATGAATCTCAAAACTGGTCATTCATAAAACTTTCTTTCAAAGTGCCTCTGATTTGCACTGTCCTGCACTGTGCTCTCCTTATCACCCTGGTGTCTGGCTGCTCAGTTTCTATTTAGATGCTCTGCCTCTGCCCTCCACCTGCCACATACCTTTCCCCCTTGCTCTCACAAAGATTATGGAGCACACAGCAGGTCAACACCACAAAGGTAATGTTGCATTTGCTGAGATCCAACCTAGTCAGGAGACTCCTAAACCGTCCCTTTAAATGTCTAAAAGCACATTCCATCACCATTCTGCACTTGCTCAGCCTGTAGTTGAACTGCTCCTTACTGGGGGCCAGGCAGCCCATGTATGACTTCATGAGCCACAGGAGCAAGAAGTAGGTTGGGTTGCCAAGGATCATTATTAGCATTTCCACTCCTCCAACTTTAATTTTCTGATCTGAGAAAAAAAAAAGTTCCAGTATGCATCTTTCTGAAGAGGAAGGAGTCCCTAAAGATGTGCACATCGTGCACCTTTCCTAACTATCTGTTAGGAAACTGTTGGTAAAACAGCGCTTGTGATCCTCCAAAGCTTACAGCACCATGGAGAAGTATCCATTGCAGTTTATATACTCCTTTGCAAGGTGGTCGGGGGCCAAGATGAGGATCTGCATTCTCTCTATTGCTCCACTGCTGTTTTGGGAACCCCATCGCTGCAAAGCCATTCATTATGGTATCCACATTTCCTAGAGTCACAGTCCTCTGTAGCACAATGGCATTGATCACCTTGCTTACTTGTATAACAGCCCCCATAGTAGATTTCCCCACTCCAAACTGAATCCCAACTGACATGTAGCTGTCTGATGTTACAAGCTTCTACAGAGCAACTGCCATGCCACATGCTTCATGGTCAGACCGGGTCTCATTCTAGTATTCTTGCTCTTCAGGGCAGGGAAAAGCCCTTCACAAAGTTCCAAGAAAGTGGCCTTGCCTATTTGGAAGTTTTGCAGCTACTGCCAATCGTGCCATAGCTGTATCACAATGCAGTACCTTCCAGTCTGGGCTAGTCTCAAAGCACCAGAACCAGCGTTCCACTGTGTCCACAGGATTGACCGACAGCGGTTTTTCCATCAGCGCAAGGGCTTGCATAAATAGCAAATCCATGCGATTGGGAGATTCGTCCTTTTCCTGGTGAAGTGACATGTGTACACTCTCAAAATATTGCACCATTAGATACACCAAGGCAGATATCAACATCAGAATGGTTTGATACAAAACAGGATCCACGCTCACACTGCTATGGCAACAAAAGGCAAAAAGGGCATGAAAAAACTTTTTCCTATTGATCTGAAGCGAGCAGGGGAGGGACTAGATGAGTGCATTATGGGATGCTGACGACATGAACCCATACTCTCCTGCTGCACAGTTTTGATCCCAGCATGCATTGGGAGCATATCCCAAAATCCAAAGCAGCGTAGGCACTGTGGAATAGCTACCCACAGTGCACTGCTCTCAAAGTCAAATGCAGGCTCCTTAATGGGGAAGTGCTACTTCGGACTACATTGAATTCTTCCCTGTATTGAGGACACGGACCTTTGACTTTGCAAAATTGGGTGACCAGACATCAACCATAATAGAGCCAGACTTGTCTTATAGTGTAGAGATGGCCTGATTGAAGCAAGGGCAAGACCTTCATTCTTCAGATGCAGAACATAATCAAGGATCATTTGCAGTGGAGCCTGGATAAGGCTGATTCCCCTCTGGGTGGCACAAACTGAGAACTGGGTCCATTTTGTAGGTTGATCTGGCAGACAGCTTCCTGCTTTCCAAGAGAATCTCCCTCACCTCAAGTGAGCAGGATTGTTTCTCATGGTTCAGCCATGGAGCAACCATGCCATGAGGTACAGGAGCAGCAGGTTCGAATGCAGGAGGAGATTGTGATCCTGTAACAATAGAACTGTGCGGATGAGAGTGATGCACCAATGCTGGCATGGCCATGCTGATATGATGATGTTACACTTGGAGAAATACAAGTAGCAGAATCTTATTTGGAGGATAAGGCAGTATGCCACATTTATTGTGAATGCAGAATTCATTTACTGTCCCTAGCTACTAAAATTATCCACCATACATACATACACTCATACACAGATTATATATAACTACTAGCCGCAGTTGCTCATGCTAGTCCACTGGCCAGATGGTCTAGACACAAGGAGAGTTGCTGGGTCACATCAGTTTGCACTGATGGTCCTGGAGGATGATTATAGAACTGAAAGACCCAATCCTACAGTTTTGCACCCATTTTTTTAATGTGGTTTAGTCAATAGAGCCTGTCCTGTGCTACTGCCCCAGGACACTGTATGACCATGAGTCAACAGTTAATGGTAGATGACACTTAGATCTTTTTCTCGATGGAAGTTTTGTTTCTCTCTTTGTTGGGTGAGTTCTTTTGTAGGGCTCCCTCCCATTGTTCTTTGACAACAAGGGTGGTCCTGTCAACTGGTCACTGAAACAGGCTAGTGTTGGGGACTGATCCCATTGCACACACACCCACATTCACACTTTTTAAATGAGATTACAGACACACAACTAACTTTAAACAGAGTTAAATCAGTACAAAGTTTTAAGATGGTGTTTCAGTTACAAAATGGAGTGACTTTAGTTAGCGTATTAAGTTTCTTCAAAGGCATTTCTTAACAGATTACAAACAAATTAATCCAAAGGTGATTAACTATGTTTCATTTATAAAATTCCATAAATAAAAAAAAATTGATCCACAATTCATGAGGTTGTACAATGTCTTACTGGTAGTTATAATTCATTGTAACTCATTAAAAGGGCCATTTAATCCTTCAGCCCTACATTGTACGCTTATTAAGTTTGTAGGGATAACAAGTGGAGTTCCTCAAGGGTCTGTTTTGGGACCCGTACTGTTCAATATCTTCATCAATGATGTAGATATTGGGATAGAGAGTACTCTTATTAAGTTTGCAGATGATACCAAACTGGGTGGGGTTGCAACTTCTTTGGAGGATAGGGACATAATTCAAAATGACCTTAGCAAGTTAGAGAAATGGTCAGAGGTAAACAGGATGAGGTTTAATAAGGAGAAATGCAGAGTGCTCCACTTAGGAAGGAACAATCAGTTCCATACATACAAGATGGGAAGCGACTGTCTAGGAAGGAGCATGGCGGAAAGGGATCTAGGGGTCATAGTGGACCACAAGTTGAATATGAGTCAACAGTGTGATGCTGTTGCCAAAAAAGCAAATATGATTCTAGGTTGTATCAACAGGTGTGTTGTAAGCAAAACTCGTGAAGTCATTCTGCCGCTCTACTCTGCACTAGTTAGGCCTCAGCTGGAGTACTGTGTCCAGTTCTGGGCGCCACATTTCAAGAAAGATGTGGAGAAATTGGAAAGGGTACAGAGAAGAGCGACAAGAATGATTAAAGGTCTAGAGAACATGACCTGTGAATCCAGGCTTCGTGAACTGGGCTTGTTTAGTTTGGAAAAACGAAGATTAAGGGGGGACATGATAGTGGTTTTCAAATATCTAAAAGGGTGTCACAAGGAGGAAGGAGAAAATTTGTTTCTCTTGGTTTCTGAGGACAGGACAAGGAGTAATGGGCTTAAAGTGCAGCAGGGGAGGTTTAGATTGGACATTAGGAAAAAATTCCTAACTGTCAGGGTGGTCAAATATTGGAATAAATTGCCAAGGGAGGTGGTGGAATCTCCCTCTCTGGAGATATTTAAGAACAGGTTGGATAGACATGTGTCAGGGATGGTCTAGACAGAGCTTGGTCCTGCCTTGAGGGCGGGGGGCTGGACTCGATGACCTCTCGAGGTCCCTTCCAGTCCTATGATTCTATGATTGTCACCCTTTTGACCCTTCAACTTTCTGCAACTCAGAGCTACTGAAACCACTGACAGGAAAGCATGATGTCTGTTCTACAGCCTTAGCTGAGAGCCAACTGCCTTTCAACTCGTGCAGGAGAGCAGGTGTGGGCAATAAAATGGCAATAAAATATATACCACTATATTTACCTGCATTTCTGTAGATACGGGTGATCGCAGCTCCCATTGGCTGGGAATAGTGAGCTGCGGCCAAAAGGAGCTACAATCCCTTGTATCTGCGGAGGCATAAATACATGGTGTGGGGATCCATTAGGAGCTAACCCCAGCAGATTGGATCCAGTCCATGGGCTGGTATTTCCCCACCTCTTCGGTAGAGGCGTATGGCGTTAGCCCCTAGGGTCGCACGTTCAGTCCCTCCTGCCAACAACTCAGGTTCATCAGCTCTACAAGTAGGGGCTCAACTAGGATATTTCTGAAGCTTGGTGTGCTTGCTTGGCTACGTGAAGTATGCAACACCTGTACCATCTGGGTGTGGTGTACTGCCCCAACTAGTGGCACTGACACCACTTACAGAGAGAATGAGTCTGTTGATTGGCCTGAGCCAAAAGCCAGCTGGCTTGAAGCTCATGCACTAAGCTCCAGAGGTCCCAATTTTAATTCTGCCTGTTGGCATTATAATGAATATTACTCACACTGTGTCTTGCCTAATCTTCTGTAGGACCCTGCTGATCAGAGGAAATGGTGAGAACACGTACATGAGGCCTTCTGTCCAAGGAAGGAGAAAGGCACCCACGAGGTAGACTTCCTCCAGGCCCAGGCTGGAGCAGAACCTGGGGGAACTTAGCGTTCTGCCTAGTCACAAGTAAATGTACTCAGGGAGCGCCCTGATTTCAGAGGAGAGCAGAAGTATGTCCGGGTGAAGAGCCCCACTTGTCTGCCTATGTGGTCTGCAAGGGTATTCTTGGCCCCCAGGAGTTGTGGAGCATCCAAGTAGATGTGATGAATACGGAAGCCCCAGAGCCAAATTCTTCCTCACAGAGGGCTGAGGAATGGGTCCTTCCTTGCCTGTTAATGTAGCACATAGCGAGGACTCGGGCCACACTGACTGACAGGTGAATTAGGAATACCTCGCACACCTTGCGAACAGCCCTGGGCAGGAGTGTACTGGCAATCAATATGCCCAGGAAATGGGTTGAGAACTGCCCTCCCCATGACATCACTCCTGCATGCCCCTCAAGCCCCGCCCCCTTTCCTTGCGTCATGTCCGGCATGCGGCACAGGCGATGGGTCAGGCTCTGCGTACCGCATGTAGCGTGGATGCAGAGCTGCTCTGAGTGAGGGGCAATGGCATGTGGACACGACGGCCCACCAGACGACAGTCCACCAGGAAATTCCCGGTATCCCATCAGGCCCGTCCGCCCCTGGCCATGGGCTCCTTTATATTCATATGGAGGTTCGTCTCATCTGCAGACCACTCTCCCTGTGTCCAGAGTGCACTCAGGTAGGTATCTTTCTGTATCCCAGAGGAGGACATAAGAACATAAGAACAGCCGTACTGGGTCAGACCAAAGGTCCATCTAGCCCAGTATCCTGTCTACCAACAGTGGCCAGCACCAGGTGCCCAGAGAGGGTGGACCGAAGACAAGTATCAAGCGATTTGTCTCCTGCCATCCCTCTCCAGCCTCTGACAAATAGAGGCCAAGGACACCATTTTATCCCCTGGCTAATAGCCTTTTATGGACCTAACCTCCATGACATTATCTAGCTTCTCTTTAAACTCTATTATAGTCCTAGTCTTCACAGCCTCCTCTGTCAAGGAGTTCCACAGGTTGACTACACGCTGTGTGAAGAAGAATTTTCTTTTATTAGTTTTAAACCTACTACCCATTAATTTCATTTGGTGTCCTCTAGTTCTTCTATTTAGGGAACTAATAAATAACTTTTCTTTATCAGCCCTCTCCACACCACTCATGATTTTATAGACCTCTATCATATCCCCCCTCAGTCTCCTCTCTTCTATACTGAAAAGTCCCAGTCGCTTTAAACTCTACTCATATGGGACCCGTTCCAAACCCCTAATCATTTTAGTTGCCCTTTTCTGAACCCTTTCCAAGGCCAAAATATCTTTTTTGAGGTGAGGAGACCACATCTGTACACAATATTCAAGATGCTCTGGCTGGCCAGGGTCCTGCCACACCAGGGGGTGGGGAGGACGGGGGAAGGAGAGGAGGCTTCTCCAACCTACCGGGGCTTCACCATGCTGTGGGCTGCTTTGGCCGGCCAGGATCCCATCATGCTCTGGGTAGGCCCAGGGGTCCTGCTATGCTGCGAATGGGGGAGTCGCTCCGTCTGACTAGGATCTCGGAGTGCTCAGGGACCAATACTGAGAAAATGACTACCAGTGCCACGATGTGCAGTGGGGTCTGGAGTTCCTATGATCTGTTCTGAGAAGCGTGATACTGATGAATAGCAGCTTCTGCCCACCCCGATCTGTACAGGGACATTGCTGGGTGTTCCCTGGCATCAGGGAGTGAGAGATAAGTGCAGTTTGCTGCATCCCTCATTGGTTGGAGAGCACAGATGAACCTAGATATGCACCCCTCCCCCTAGCTGTGCCTCCCCCCAGCTGCAGTGGCCATGGGGAGGTGCTTCTCACCTGGCCCCAAGCTGCTACAGTGAGAAGGGGCTGGGGGTGTCTTGTCTCCCTGGCTGGGTGGGGCTTATTAAGCAGCTGTGGGGCTGTGCTACCAACGTACGTGCCAAGCGTACGGCAATCTGTCCCTCAAATAACAGCCTGCATGCAGGGAGTGACTAGCTTCAGGGTGCTGCAGTTACTCAAGATGGGCAGCCACGAATGAGGAGGGCTTCCCTGCTCTGCCTGTGCCGGTGTCTTTTCTTTACATGGCACCATAGACTTGTCCATTGTGGCTTTCCCGAGCTTCTCAGTCAGCTCACAGAAGACACCCAGTACTGGCAATAATGGTGGTCTCACCGAGGCACTGGTGCTCAATTCTGAATCCAAATGCTGGTCTTAGGGAGCTAGTGTGGATTCCATTAGCAGGGCCTTTATCCAGATTACACTGTCTTTAGTTGTCCTGGAATGAAATGATCTGCAGACCCAACACTTCTCAGAGATGTGGGTTTCTCCGAGGTGGCAACGAAGGCAATCAGCGTGAGGGTTGCTAACAGATATAGATCCACTGCAGTGAGTACATTCTTTAAAACTAGGGGAGTGGGGCATGCTCTGTCCCTGGGGGATTTAGTCCCTAAAGGGGAAAGGAGGGAGAAGCGGAGACAAGGGTGGTAAGACTATACTAGCTGCTAAGTACATCTAAACATCAACTAAAGGGAAACGATTTACAACTGAATAGGCTACTAAACGCTATTGACTACAGCAAAGCTGGAGCATGCAGTTCCAAGCACCATCGCTGGTGGTAAGAAGGAACTGACAGAGAAGGGGCCCTGCTTTGCCCTATATATCGCAGCATGTGCGCACCACTTCTGGGGGTGCTGGAGACATTCCCTTCCAGCTACTGCTACATGTGAGGAGCGCGCACACACCTATATTGAATGGACATGAGCAAGCATTCAAATAAAAAAAGTTATTTTTAATTTAGCATGTTAGTTGCAAACAACACCTAAGTTTAGTAAAAAGAAAAGAAACTAGAAAAAAAACTCTTAACTTTTCAATTTATTAACTTCTTTCATTTGGCAGCATTTTCCATAGAGTCAGTTTCATTGTTTCCCCTTTATAGTCAGTCAATTTCCCTTTGTTTGTGTGAGCCTCTCACATACAAAGTGCAGCCAGATTGGCCAGTTTTAGGAACATGTCCTGCACCTTTTTCCATTGAAGAGGAGTTGGGAAAGGACAGGAGAACCCAGCCAGTGACCCCTCATATCTCAGAAGGGTCACTTATGGATTTTTACCAGTGGTATAAGTTACAACAGCTATTCTAACTTGCACTGACAATCATCATAAGATGATCAACTGTAAGATCGGGGAGCTGCAAACTACTCCCTGCAGTTTGCCCTCTCCACTCTGTCCAAGAAGAAATATAGCTCTTCAGTTTACCAGAAGCCAATACAAATTTTGCTAATATAATCGTGAAACGTATACACTACTGGCAACAATTTTTTTTTACATACCTGAATAAGGAGCCATTCCTACAACTGTAGGCATCAGTCCTCTGTAAAATCCACGGAAACCTCCTTCCTTTTGAAGGAAAAACATAAAATAATAATAATAATTGCAAATAGAAGTAAATATAATTAGATTATTATGGAACTGATTGTATTGACAACAAGCCAATATAACAAGTATGACGGTGCTAACTAGGTATTAATAGTAATCTCAACTTCCTCTTCCTCAGATGCTGAAAGGAAAGACTATAATTTGTAGGCTAGGAGACAGGAGAAAATGCTTAGAGGGAGGCTGATCAAAATGAAAAAGTGGGGAGATTATTGTCAATACACAAATATGAATAAGCTCCCATTCCTCCAGTTATACACATTATTCTCAGAGGCAAAAATCTCAGGAGTATATACCACTGTTCTTCCCAATTTGTTATCCTCTGCCACTTCCACCAGTTTAAGTTGCCCTGCAACAGCATGAGTAAAAAGAAAGCATGTAATTGTGTTAATGATAGTGTGCTATACACACAGTCAAATACAAATTCAAATTGGTTTCCATCAGGTCACTAAGCAGTGTTGTACAACATTAAAAAAATATAAACAAGATATTTTTCCTTTAACAAGAATGGAAGGAGAAAGCAAAATACCTTTGTATAAATAGTCTTGAATGCATGAATAATTCCTGTGTACTTGTGATCCCCTTTTACTTGGAATGCCAGGCGTGCTCTAACCATATCAAGAGGATAAGTACAAATGACTGCTGTTATACCTATTTAAGGAAAGAACACCGCCATATGCCTTAATTGTTCTTAAGCAACAGAAGATGCTTTCAAGTCAAACAATATAATAACATATATACAAGTTTTTAAAAGTCAAATTTAAAAATCCACCTTTTATTATAGGCTAAGAGATCTAAACTCAGCCATGCATGCAGGGAATATTTACATTTGTATCCATCAGCATAAACAGGAGCGATGCAAATACACATCAATCCTGCAATGGTTTACAGCTAACTGCACTCATATGAATACCCCCATTGCAGTTAGTGTGTAAGGTTATTCTAGTGATTAAATCTTTGTAGAATCAGCGCCATTGGATCTAATCCTGCCATACTTAAACATTCAAACATTAAATCAGAGAACTCAGCAGATTTATACATTTAATTTCCCAAAAATTATGTTGGAAAAAAGGCAATAGAATTACTGTATTTATAAGACCATATTTAAATGGCATCTGAATACAGATGGGATTCTAAATGAAAACAATAATAGTTTTGATTTATATTTGTTTTTTAATCATTCTTTTACTTTTAGATGAATGACAATAAATTACTGTAAATACCACATCATATACAGGGCCAGATTCTGTGGTCCACAGTTATGCATGTAGCACTTGATTGTGCATGTAAAACACTGGAAGCCAGTGTTGAGTGAGTAAAAGTTACATACAGAATTAAGCATTGTAAATCTGACCAAGCACAAGTGCTGACTTTCAAAAGTGCCAGGGGATGCTTGACCCCTCCTCCCCCCGCAAGCTCTGCCCCAGCCCTGCTTCCACTCCACCCTTTCACTGCCTCTTCCCACCCCTACTCCACTCTCATCCCACCTCTTCCTTCATAGTGCCTTCCCCAAAAGCACCTCACCCTCACTCCTACCCTCTCCCTCCTGAGCCATCCAAATGCCACAAAACAGCTGATCATGATGGGCAGGAGGTGAAGGAAGATGCGCACTTATCGGCATGGCCCATCAGTAGGTGGGAGGCACTGGGGGGAGGGGAGATGATGGGGCACTATAGAAATCTCTATATCTGTATTTTTTAATTTGGTTAGGTTTTATAAGGTAATGTTTACATGGACAACGGAAATCTGAAGCTCTACTATCATGCTGCTTCAAATATGCAGAGGCTGAGATGTTGCCATTTTAAGGGCAGATCATAAACAGAACATAGATTTAAACAGTGACAGTCCTCACTAACACCATCATCTAAATAATTAGCCTCTCTCTACCCCTAAGCTATGAGGTAGACAGTAACCCATAAACTGTTTACAAGCACATGGAGGGGAAATTACAAATACCTTACAAATACCTAAGACGGCTGTTGTTTCCTTCCATCCCCCATCCTATTTTACTATTATAATTCAGGAAGCAAAGAAGATTCAATTAAGGTAAGAGTATGCAACATATTTTTAAAAACTCTCCGCGGGCAAATCAAAGGCATTTGTCGACCTCCCCGGTAAACCTCATCCCACGAGGCATAGCAGGGAGGTCGACAAATGCCTTTGATGTCGACCACGGAGCGTCCAGACTACAGCACTGTGGTGCCAAACTGCTGATCGGCACAGCATGGCAGCCATTTTAATTTAAATGAAGCGGCGATTATTTAAATCGCCACTTCATTTCCCTTTGCCTACAACCCTAATCTACATGGCTCCGTTGATGGAGCCCTGTAGTCTAGACGTGCCCTTGATGCCTGCAATTCATCAGCATAAACTCATTTTCCATGAGTCTAGACGTGCTCCAAGTGACCATGTTTCAATCCCCTTAGTCTAAGCAGAGTCCGCTTGAAGTATCCTTTTAACTTGTTTTAGAAGGGAGCAAGGTCAGCAAGTCAAGTATTTTGTGATAATGCATATGAATGTTCTCTTAGAGCCTTGAAAACAAGACAAGTTCATACTAATTAGGTGTACTAAATTCCTTAGTCCACGTCTAACAAAATTCAAGGACATGTCCAGTGAGGGACTAGTAGTGATGTGAAGGACTAGTCAACTATCCGATGAGCAAATGCTTATCGGATAGTCAACAGGATAGTCGACTAATTGCTCTCCTATCCTCCCACAACCACCACCACCACCACCACCTTGCTATCAGATAGAGGCAGCAAGGGGGAGGGAAGAAGAGGGAGGTAATTCAAAGCAGCAGTGCCACAAGGAGCCCGGGGTCAGCTGCTCCATGCGGCGCTGCCACTTTGAATGCTGCAGGGAGCCCAGTGTTGGGCTTCTCATGCATTTCAAAGCGGCAGCGCTGCTTGGAGCCCAGGATTAACTGGAGACACCCCCAGCTGGCCTCCGTGCGGCGCTGCCACTTTGAAATGCCCTGTGTAGCCCAGTATCAGCTGGAACTCCCCAGATGATCCGGGGTTCCATGCAGTGCTGACTCTTTGAAATACTTCCACAGTATTTCAAAAAGGCAGCGCCGCATGGAGCCCGGAGTGAGCGGGGTAGTCCCCAGCTGATTCTAGGCTTCAGCACTTTCACCTCTGAAGTAAGTCTGTTGCTACTCTTCAAAGGTGGAGGCGCCCTATCAACTATTCGATTAGTCAATTACCCGATACTTAACATCCTTACTCACTAGCTTAGGTTGACCATCGCTAGGCGAAACTGTGCCAATGAACATGAAAGGTAAAACACCCATCATAAATTCTAGGGTTTAGTCTACTCTCTATTGCCTAAGTATTAGGCAGTAGAGATGCTGGAGCTCAGGCCACACCACAGAATTTGATGCAGCTGATCAAATTATCCAGAATTACCTGGAAATGGGCTAAAATCTTTTCCACAGTTGCGTCTTTGACATAATGGGATTAGAAATAGTAAGGATACTTCCTGACAAAGAGGCAGAATCTGAGATTTGCAGTCAGAGCATAACACTGACTTATCAAGAAAAAGGACAAATTGTTTCATCTTGCTGAAAGAAACTACTTCTTCAAAAAGAATAAGAAGACATGAAAAACAAGAGGGATTACTTCAAACTCTGAATTTTGTTTCCCACGGGGTGTTTGGATCTGGGAGCTTTTAATGAGAGAAGCTGTACAAGCATTGATATGCAGCTCTCTTCAGGATTTCCTACCATTATTTCACCATCTTACTCTTTCTTCTTTGTAAAATTAAAATTTAAAGAGGAAAACAGAAAGTTTCTCTCCAGAGCAAAGAAAGGCAGGCTGAAGGGGAGAGTTGTGTCTATTAAATGTACGTATTGCATATACACCAGCCTTAATTTAAAAAATCATTTTTCCTTGTTTCCTGGCAAGTGGAAAACTACTATTCTGTAATGTTCCATCCAAGGTACCTATTTTATCAGTAAATGTTAAAGAGGAACCTGAAATATACATAAAGCACAAGCTATAGTGTTACACTAGCACTGGGGAATGGACTAGGTCACTCATGCTGAATTTGTTTATAAACCACTAGAAGATTTACCCAACACTGCTCAGGTCCTGAACACAATTTTTGTTTTTCATCATTTAAAAATGATTGTTCTGGGGAGAGTCTGGGGATGCGGGGGTTCAGTATGCAGGCTTTGCTGGGAACATTACCCCAGCCCTCTTCCGCCATGGCAATTTTGGGACAGGTGAGAAGCGCCTCTCCACTGCCGCTGCCTGCAGCCCCCCGTCCTCCCTAACGGGTGCTAGTGGTGGAAGGCTTATGTCTGGGGTAGTCCCAGAGTGAGGGAGCATATCCTCACCCAACCCTTTTCACTTGCCTGGTGATTCTGTCTATTTTCTGTATGTTTTATGCATTCCCCTGTACAACCAAACCCTTACCTTGCTTTAAGTTATGATAAGACCAAGCTGCATACCAAATTTGGTAGTCCTAGCTCTTATGTTCAGGAGGAGTTATAGAACAAACAGATGGACAGACATATGCACATTTCTAATATATATAGTAAGATGAATGGAACCCAATGAATATGACACAAGGGATTCTTTTTCATTTCAGCCAGCACATATGAGAAACTAGCAGAAGCCAAACAGACCTGTTAGGCTGGTCAAGGAGTTTCCCTAGCCCTGGAAAGTTACAGAGAATTCTACTGTTTCTAGATCTGTAAAATATAATTAAATTGCGTATGTCTCAATAGTTAGCTGAATGGTTCAATTTGTATTATACCTTCATCCTAAAATAACAACATTGATAGGGATTCTATAGTTAATACTGAGATGACAATTTCATTCAAAATGCTTATTTTCAGTCTCTTCCTGTCAATTAGCTGATGGGCCAAAATTACTTATACTTATTATTATACCACATGAATTATTCTGAAAAGCTAAACTATTTTGGCTATTTTTTAGTTCATCAGATATAGGGGGAAAACATGTTTCTGTTCTTCAATATAGCTGTTTTTATATTTGGAGGACTCCAATGGCTTTGTTTTCAAAATCCTGCATTTTAAAGAGTGTGAGTATAGGGAGTTCTTTGTCTTTGGGTTTTTTTTTCCTAAACAATTCTCTAATATCTACCATTTTTTTCTATCCTCTCACCCAATTCTCTCTTTCCTTACAGGAAATTATAAAACAATTATCTGTTAATTAAGTATTACAACTGAAATCTGAATCACAAGAGAGTCAGGAAATTCAGAGTTAAAGTCTCCACAGTAACTTTAACCTGGTCTCCTTGAAAATATACATTACAATGGGTTTTTTCCCCCCACTGCAGTCAGTCATACTTCCCCCATCCTCACTACTTTTCTCCTGATTGCAGAGGGATGTTTTTGACCTGTGTACATTAGGAAAGATGTTCAACCATTTCCCACCATTGCTAACTCTGATTCAGTTCCACTGAAATTAGCAATGTTGGGAACCTTGGCTAGATAGAATCACCACATCTGAGTGTTTAAAAACACAGCTTAACAGAAGCAATTGCAGCACATATAGCTGCATCACAAAGGAGACATGCAGGCAGGATTACCTTCTTCTGTGACACAGTTAACCCCTTCTCTGAAGGTACCAGAGCACATGAAGTGCTTCCCCCCACCCAAGCCAACTCAAGGCAGCAGAAGTAAATAGGTTGCACCTGGCACTCTTAGACAGTAATATTGTCAGACTCTTTCCTCAGTTTTTTCTTTCCTCTGTGCTAAATGGCCATTTACTCCATCTACCTTAAAACTTTCATTAAGTCTCTTCAATTCTGCCTT